TTGGACTTTGGAGATTTGGGTTTGACATCTGGGGTGGTGATCCCACACAAGTTTAAGGCTCCTGTCTTTTCTAAGTACGATGGGATCTCATGTCTAAAGTTACACCTCCGCTCGTATGTTAGAAAGATTCAACCATATACTGCTGACATGAATCTTTGGATTCATTTCTTTCAAGATAGTCTTTCAGGGACTCAACTTGAATGGTTCTATCAACTGGAAAGAGCTAACGTCCGTAACTGGGAGGACCTTGCTGCTGCTTTTTATAAGCAGTACCAATATAATGCCGACCTTGCTCCCACGCGTACCCAACTTCAGGGTATGTCCATGGGTGCGAGCGAAGGTTTTAAGGACTACGCTCAGAAGTGGAGAGATCTTGCGGGAAGAGTCCAACCCCCTCTGGCTAATAGGGAGTTGGTGGATATGTTTTTGGGGACCTTGTATGGTCCGTATTTCAACCATTTGATCAGAAGTTCATCGTCTGGTTTCGCCGAATTGATTATGACTGGGGAGAGGGTTGAAGCCGATATCAAGAGCGGCAAGATACAGAAAGGTGCTTCATTAAGTACCGATAAGAAGCCCTTCAAGAAGGAATCTAGTGCAGTTTACAGCTCGAGGAGCCAGAACCGACCCGTGAGCCGCCAAGCAGTTAACGCGGTAGTTATATCAAGACCTATTGTTTCCCCACAACGTAACACTCAGCAAAGAGCAGAGAGGCCTCAAAGACAGTTTACTCGGCTCAGTATGACTCTATATCAAATTCTGCCGCAGTTGTTAAAGACCAATTTGGTGACTCTAAGGGAGGCTCCGAAGAATCCCAATACTACATCACCACTGTATAATCCGAACGCTCGCTGTGCTTTTCACTCCGACAGCCCGGGGCATGATACGAATAAGTGCTGGGTCTTGAAGAATAAGGTACAGGATCTGATTGAAGCTAAGGAGATTGAATTTGAAGCGCCGGAAAAGCCTAATGTCATAACGACACCTATGCCAAAACATGACGCGGGAGTCAATGCAATTGAAGATGATGTGGAAGAGTCAGAGTTTGAAAGCTGGATTTACCCGACTACAAACGGCGGACTGAGCAATTGGACGGTAAAGGACTTCGTGCCAATTTCTTTTATTACACAGTAATAGACTTTTGTTTTGGATTTGTAACAGACAATTTTAAACTTTACGGCCCGGTGCCTTACCCGAGACACCGTGGCTTTGTTTGAGGGCTTATTGTGTGTCATTTCCATATATCATCAATAAAAGCATTGGACATTTTCTTGCATTATGAATTTTGCGCTCCTTGTTTTTCTTTTCTATCTTGCAAACCAACTATTTTACACACACTCACATATACAGGTCTACATCCACTCTGGATCCCACTGATAACGACTCTGCTACTGCCAATTATGACTTCGAAAGTCCGATCAACCAAGCCGAGGACGAAGGTGAAGATGATTGCAAAGTGCCTGGGGAACTTGCTAGACTGTTACTTCAGGAAGAGAGGGCCATACAGCCACATGAAGAGCCAGTGAAAACAGTAAATCTGGGTACAGAGGTAGACAAGAAAGAGGTCAAGATTGGTGCAAATATGGAGTCTAGTGTTAAACAACAGTTGATTCAGATACTGCGTGACTATGTGGAGATCTTTTCCTGGTCTTATGAAGATATACCCGGGTTGGATATTGATATTGTGGTTCACCGCTTGCCTACCAAAGAAGACTGTCCTCCAGTGAAACAGAAAGTTTTCCGAATGCGCCCAGAGATGTCTGAGAAAATCAAGGCTGAGGTTGTGAAACAGTTTGATGCCGGTTTTCTAGCAGTTACTTCTTACCCACAGTAGGTGGCCAACGTGGTTCCAGTACCGAAGAAGGGTGGTAAAGTACAGATGTGTGTTGACTATAGGGATCTGAACAGGGCAAGCCCCAAGCATGATTTCCCTCTACCTCATATCGACGTTCTGGTTGACAACACCGCACAGCATAAGGTCTTCTCCTTTATGGATGGTTTCTCCGGTTACAATCAGATTAAAATGGCTCCCAAAGATATGGAGAAGACAACCTTTGTTACTCAATGGGGTACCTTTTTCTACAAGGTCATGCCGTTTGGATTAAAGAATGTAGGGGAAACGTATCAGCGCACCATGGTCGCTTTGTTCCACGACATGATTCATCATGAGATTAAGGTATACGTTGATGACATGATTGCAAGATCCCAGACTGAGGAAGAACATCTTGACCATCTTCAGAAGCTATTTGAGAGGTTGAAGTTGTACAAGCTGAGGTTAAACCCGAATAAATGCACCTTCGGGGTGAGATCTGGTAAGCTGTTGGGTTTCGTCGTTAGTGATAAAGGTATTCAAGTGGACCCTGCAAAGGTGAAGGCTATACAGGAAATGCCAGCTCCTCGAACCGAAAAAGAAGTCAGAGGCTTTTTGGGACGATTGAATTACATTGCCCGATTCATCTCACACCTGACTGCTACTTGTGAGCCAATCTTCAAGTTACTGAAGAAAGATCAAGTAGTAAGATGGAACAATGAATGTCAGACCGCTTTCGAAAGGATCAAGGAATATCTCCAAGAGCCACCTATTATGATGCCTCCAGTTGAAGGGAGACCTATGATCCTATAATTGACAGTACTCGACAATTCAATGGGGTGCGTGCTGGCGAAGCATGACGAGTCTGGCCGAAAAGAGCATGCTATTTATTACCTTAGCAAAAAGTTTACCGACTGCGAGACCCGATACTCGTTGCTTGAGAAAACTTGCTGCGCTTTGGCATGGGCTGCTCGCCGGCTGAGACAGTATATGATGACTCACACTACTCTATTGATATCAAAGATGGATCCAATCAAGTATATCTTCGAGAAGCTTGCCTTGTCCAGAAGAATAGCAAGATGGAAGATGATCTTGACTGAGTATGACATCCAATATACGACCCAAAAAGCAATCAATGGAAGTGTGTTGGAAGATCATTTGGCGCACCAGGCAGTGGACGATGAGCAGTCTATGAACTTTGAATTCCCGGATGAGAATATATTGTTGGTGACTGACTGTGAAACACCTGGACCGGATGAAGGACCTGAGGAGGGATCCCGATGGTCTATGTACTTTGATGGAGCTTCAAACTCTTTGGGTAATGGCATTGGCGCCGTGATCGTATCTCCTGAAGGCTCTCATACTCCGTTCACCGCCCGGTTATGCTTCAACTGCTCCAACAACATGGCGGAGTATGAAGCATGCATTATGGGTCTTCAAGCAGCTATTGATCTAAGGATTAAGTTCTTGAGTGTATTCGGAGATTCCGCTCTCGTGATCAGTCAGATCAAAGGCGAGTGGGATACGAAGCACCCAAATATTATTCCTTACAAAGAGTATGTATTGACTTTACTCCCGCACTTCGAGGAGATAACCTTTGAACACTTCCTTAGAGAGGAGAATCAGTTTGCGGATGCGCTAGCTACAATGTCTTCTATGTTCAAGGTCAGATGGGACAATGAAGCTCCCCAGATTACCATTGAGAGGTTGGACGAACCTGCACATTACTGTGATATTGAGACTAAAGAGGAAACCGATAAACCCTGGTTTCATGAAGTGAAGAGGTATCTTAAGGCTCAGGAAAACCTCGAGGGTGCATCTGTTAATGATAAGAAGTTTATGAGGAGGTTCGCAGCAAAATTCTTCATCAGCAATGGCATTCTTTACAAGCGTAATCATGATTCAACCTTATTGCGATGTGTGGATAAGAACGAACACTATGCCAAAAACGAGTTTTGGCACCGCTACATAGACAGCGCTTATGCAAAAGCGTTGTTGTAGGTATCCAAAAAAAAAAACTTTAGACAACGCTTATTAAAAACGCTGCTATAGGCCTTATCAAAGGCAGCGCTTTTTCTCCCTAAGCGCTCCTATAGGGTTTTAAAAAAAATAAAAATAAAAAAATTAATAAAAGCGCTGCTAAAGGGTATGCTTTAGACAGCGCTTTCAAAAAGCGCTGCTAAAGGTGTAAGTCTAAAAGCGCTGCTAAAGGGGGGGTAAACCTAAAGCGCTGCTAAAGGGGGGTACCTTTAGCAGCGCTTCTTGAAAGCGCTGCCCTTGTGTAAATCTAAAAGCGCTGCTAAAGGTGGGGTAAGCCTAAAGCGTTGCTAAAGGGGGGTACCTTTAGCAGCGCTTCTTGAAAGCGCTGCCTTTGTGTAAATCTAAAAGCGCTGCTAAAGGTGGGGTAAGCCTAAAGCGCTGCTAAAGGGGGTACCTTTAGCAGCGCTTCTTGAAAGCGCTGCCTTTGTGTAAATCTAAAAGCGCTGCTAAAGGTGGGGTAAGCCTAAAGCGCTGCTAAAGGGGGGTACCTTTAGCAGCGCTTCTTGAAAGCGCTGCCTTTGGTTTGTTAATTTATTTCTAAACCCCTAACCCCTAAATCAGATTTCCATAAACACAAAATTAAACCCATATCGCTGTTCATCTTCTTCTCCATTCGTCTCCTCCCAAACTCCCCCTGTCTCACTCCATTACTCCCTTTGTTCCATCATCTCTCCGATATAACTCCCTCCGGTAGTCATCCAACACCACTTTTCCCCTGCAACTCGCCATCATTTCCCCTCCTCACCATAAACAAGCTTCCGCCAAAACAACTTCATTCAACCGTTCCATCTTTCATAAAACCCTAAAAGAGCCATTTCTGAGTGTTGAGATTTGGCCGAATTTGCTTCAGCTGCCGTGAAGATGGTGAAAGGACGTCAAGGCGAGCGTGTATTTGGTTTCTTCCAGTTAGAACATTGATGATTTCTTCTGGCTTTTATTCTTCTCTACTCACTGTACAAGTCCTGTTTTAAATGAATCAGTCTGTGATCTGCTTTTTGATTTAGGTATAACTATGTTTTACAGAAACTATAATATTAATACTGATTTGTATTTTGTACATTGATATTGGATGTAAAGTTAAGAGGAACTATAACGTTGATTTTCTTACCTTTTATTTTTGAAACAGTGTAATCATCAAATCACAACAAAGATGCAAAGGCGTATATATGGTCATGCAACGGATGTTGAGATTCACCCTTTGAATGAGGAAAAAGCTGTTCAAGCTGCTGTAGACCTTATTGGAGAACTCTTTGTCTTCTCGGTAATATGGACTTATAATTTGAAATTGCCTAAAGCTATTTTACTTATTCTTCATTATTATTGAAGACATGACTTTCATTTATGTGGTAATCTGCCACACGCTGCTAGGTGATATAGAGTTTTGCTAAGAACTAAAAGCGATAAATGAAAGTTATTCTGTGAAATGGAACATGGTTAACAAACTGCATTCAAAATATCAAGCATGGTCCGTGTAAAATTTGAATTTCTCACGATTGCATTTTGAGGGGAAATTACATTGAATGAAAAAGTTTTGCTGCTCTCTTTGTTAGCTGTTTTGACTTTTGAGGTTTATACCTTGTGTTGGTAGTTACTGAAATTTTGAAAGTTCACATCAAACTTGACACTTGGTGTTAGTTTTTATATTCGACTAATGAGTTGGTAAGATGTTGTGCAAATGAGTTAAATCTTAAACTATAAGGAGTTATGGATCCAGGACACAAACATGTTAAGGCAAAATTTGAAAAACTTGACAAATCGTGCACTACTGACAAACACAGAGTTGGTCAATTTTGTTAGTTACTTGAGTTCCTCTGTTGTGCAATATGTTTATAATCATGAATGAAATTTGTCTTGTTCTGTTTTGTCACTCAACAAAATAGTATTGTAGAGCCAAATACATCATACTTGTTGGGGGTCAAAAATTGAGTTATACTGTTATTGACTCAGACACAGGACTTGAGAATAGAATTCATTTTCTACTCAAATGACCCGTGTATACAGTCACACGCCTTGTTGTTGATTGCTTTCATATGTACTGATCATAGGTTGCAGGTCTTCTCTTGATCTTTGGGGTACAAAGAAGTGCTAGATCTGAAGCACGGAAGGAGGAGCTACGAAAAAAAGATCTAGAGGTAATTTCACATAATCATTTAATACACATATATTTGACACTGTGTCCTCTTAGTTTCAAACATGTCAAGTTTTCTTTCCCTTTCAATTTTGTTATTTATTTATTTCGGTTCTTGTTTTCAAAATTGCTCTAATATTTTGTTTATATATATATATATATATATATATATATATATATATATATATATATATATATATATATATATATATATATATATATATATATATATATATATATATATATATATATATATATATATATATATATATATATATATATATATATATATATTATTTCCTCTTAATTTCAATTATCTTATCATGCTTCTTAAGTTCCAATGCTAATGTTACATTTTCCATCTGCTACCCGTTTTCTAATATAGAATTTTACAGTGTTACACCAATGCCATACCATCTTTGATGCAGTTTCTTCTTTTATTTGGTGTCCTTAATATGCTCTTCTTGGACCACCTTGACCAAATTGAATAGGTTATGATACATAGGGCTTTAAATTTGAGGTTTACCAAGATACATGAATACTTTGTTTTGAGCTTTTGATAAATTTAAACCCTATATCATTGTTTCTCAAAGGTTGCATAATGTTTTGTTTTAAAACTTTTGAAATAGTTAAATTGACAGTCATGCTGAATCTGAGAATGAAAACTTCTCTATCAGTGGATTGTGATAGACCATTTAAGAAAAGGATGCTGAAGGACTGTATTAACAATTTTATCAACGTGTTATGTTTAAAATGGATATCACTACAATTCTGGATTAGCTTATGCTTAAAATAAGGGATATATTTAAGGACTGGTAATTTATCTATCTATATATTTGAATTGGGTTTTCTAGAGCATTATAGTCAAATAAAATGTGATTTATGTTAATATTAGTAATTCACAACAACTTGTACTCCCCCTTATTCGTATAATCATTGACATTGACACTAGTTCCAATTCAAGTTTACTGAGAAAAGATATTTATTAGTCGAAGTTTAATATACAAATCATTATCTTCATTCCTTTAGGCTATGAGGCAAAGAAATGATGAATTGGCAGAAGAAGTAGAACTTCTTAAGCATAGATTTGAAGAACTGGAACAGCTTGCTCGGGGACGTGGACTCACTGGCATTCTAAATTTCAAAAACATCATTAGTAGTAAGGAACATGGAAAGACAGAGAAAACGGCTTGACCTGATGAAAAGAATAATTACTTTTCACAATTTTTGTTCATTTATCTTTGGCAGAAATATAATTCTGACAAAGTTTCTGATTCATTTGAGGTTGTCGTCGACAATCTTTGGCAGAAATATAATTCTGACAGTTTCTGATTCATTTGAGGTTGTCCTCGACAAATTTTTTTTTACCACAGTTGCTAACTTCAAATTCTCCATTTGTACTGAGAATATGGATATTTCACTTATTGAAATATGCTCATTGTATTGGTCAAAATAAACTGCAGAAACTGTATAGTTTTTGGTGAAAGTCAAAGATGAATGAATATAAAGCCTAGTTATTATTGCATGTGTGCATTGCAACATAGCAAGGGACTCGTTTTCTTATTCATTTAAGCATGGGGCATCAATTGATTGCAAGCACAACCAGCCACCAATCACCCATTGTTGAGAGAGAAAAAACAGAGAGGATTATTACCAGGAAATGTGGCTGATCTGAATGATTGAACACATGAGTGCTGGTCTGAAAGATTCAGTAGCTTAGGATTTTCTGATCGTTGTTTTTGCTGGTGTTTCTTTTTAAGGTTTTGATACTTTGTTTGCTTTGCATTTTTTTCCACCAATATTTTATTTTATTGAGTTTCTGTGATAAGATTTTTATCATATCATTTTTGTTTATGCATTTGGCCGTTTATTTACAATTTAGTCTATCACCCCAAGATTTATATCAGGGAATTGGAAACGGCGCGCCTATTGGTGCAGTGGTAACAACTCGTGAGATTGCAAAAGTTCTGAAATATGCATACTATTTTAGCACGTTTGGAGGAAATCCTGTTTGTACTGCTGCTGGATTAGCTGTTCTCAATGTAATTGAGAAGGATGAACTTCAGTAAAATGCACATGTTGTTGGATCATATTTAAAGGACCGTCTTAACTCGCTAAAGGAAAAGCATGAGAGTAAGCTTCTTTTTCTTTCATCTTTTGTTTGTTTGGATTATCAATACTAATAGTACTAGCATGATTTTTTATGGCAGTAATTGGAGATGTAAGGGGAAGGGGAATGTTGCTAGGAGTTGAACTAGTGAAAGATCGGAAGCTGAAGATTCCTGCAAAAGATGAAAATATGCATATCCTAGAACAAATTAAAGGTTCTATCTTTTTTTAAAATCATTAAGAGTTGAATTCGGTACTCTAAGGTTTACAACACTTAAACACTCTACACACCAACCACTTGCGCTTGACTCAACTTGTTATATCTCGTCAGATATGGGAGTACTAGTTGGGAAAGGTGGCTTTTATGGAAATGTTTTAAGGATTACACCTCCACTTTGCTTCACTAAGGAAGATGCAGTTTGATTGTCATAATTCATCGGCATCACCATTTTCTTTTGATTTCTGATACTCCATTTTGTTCCTGTTTTGTTTGCTAATTCAGACTATTTTCTCCATAATTGTAGATTTTCTAGTAGAAGTGATGGACTACACAATGTCAAAGATGTGAAGCATATGGAATTGTGATTCCATAATTGTAAGATCAAAATGATACCTTATTTGAGCCTAACATCTGTGCAAATGTAATCTAAAAGCGAAATCCAAAAAATTATCTTCATTTAGCATGATGTGTTCTACCACCCCATGTACGAAATCAATAAAATTGTCTTCTTATTATCTTTGTCTTGTTATCTAGCAACTCTTTTTATCTACAATGATTGATCAATTGTCAAACACTCTTGCAGTACTTGGAAAAGATAAGGATCTTTTCATATTCAATCTTAACAATGAGAGAAAAACCAATTCTGAACTTCATTGCATTATGCTTTTAATGAATTGGTTTATTACAAAGTCATGGCACACATATTTATGCATGAGATCTAATGCAATCATGCTTCTCTATTACACATACACATGGATGGTGCACTGCACTTATGTTGCACCAGGTAGCGTTTCTTTCCCCTCTGCATCAAATGGCCCCTCCAAAAGGTAACTTGACGTTCATCTCTTTGCCTCTTGAATTCTCCGTATCGATCGAATTTTAGATTCATAGGGATTTAGTAAGGGATTTAGTGTTTATATGACTTGATGTGTCTACTGTTTAGGTGAGAAGAAGGCTGATCCAAAGGCACAGGCCTTGAAAGTTGCTAAGGCAGTCAAGTCGGGCTCTGCTATTAAGAAGAAGGCGAAGAAGATCCGAACAACTGTCACTTTCCATCGCCCGAAGACCCAAACTAAGGACCGAAATCCTAAGTACCCTTGCATTAGTGCCACCCCTAGGAATAAACTTGATCACTACCAGATTTTGAAGTTCCCACTCACCACTGAATCTGCCATGAAGAAAATTGAGGATAATAACACTTTGGTCTTCATTGTGAATTTGCGTGCTGATAAGAAGAAGATTAAGGATGCAGTCAAGAAAATGTATGACATCCAGGCCAAGAAGGTTAACACCTTGATTAGGTCAGCGCTTATTGCAAATAAATTATCTGATAACTCATTGTTGCTAATGTCATGAAGCACAGACACCCTGAACTAGTTTAGAGCAAACACTAGGTAGAATGCATAAGTGTACTATCTGTAATGTTTATTTATAATGAGATTTCAAATGCAATTTCTAAACTTGAATTATGAAATCTGAAATTGTTGTTGCAGGCCTGATGGCACCAAGAAGGCCTATGTTAGGTTGACTCCTGATTACGATGCGTTGGATGTTGCAAACAAGATTGGCATTATCTAAGTTATTACCCGATTTTGCTTTGGTTCTAGATTTTAGACAGTTATTTTGTAATCATTGAAGTATTTGTAAACGGTTTTTAGTTTATTTTATGCTCTGTTGTTTTCTATATTTTATTTCAATTTACAACACTTGTTGAACCTGTGTTTCAATTTTGACTGGAGTATTATTAATGATTGGAATGACTACTCAAAATTTTAGTATTCTGCCAACTCTTATAATGTAAGCTTGTCATTCTGTTTTCGTTGACAAAAGTTGTCAAGTGCTGCAGTTTGGTATGAGCTTTCTGAAAACTTAAAAAATAAGGGGGGGCCAAAGCGCTGCTAAAGGGGGGGATAATAGACAGCGCTTTTCATGAAAGCGCTGTCTAAAGTGATTGAAAAAAAAATTAAAAAAAAATGAGGAAAAGTGCTGCTAAAGGGAGGGTAATAGACAGCGCTTTTCATGAAAAGCGCTGTCTAAAGTGATTGAAAAAAAAAATAAAAATAAAATAAGGGAAAGCGCTGCTAAAGGGGGGTAATAGACAGCGCTTTTACCAAGCGCTGTCTAAAGTGATTGAAAAAAAGCGTTGTCTATACCTTTAGCAGCGGAGGTTTTAGCAGCGCTTTTAAGCGCTGTTAAAGGCCTAAAAAAGCGATGTCTAATCCCTTGTTTGGCATAGTGGAAGCAGAAAGGATTATGGTACAGTTGCATGAAGGTACTTTCGGAACTTATTCCAGTGGACATACCATGGCAAAGAAAATCCTACGGGCAGGATATTATTGGTCCACAATGGAAGACGACTGCTATCAGCATTCTCGGACCTGTCACAAGTGCCAAGTCTATGCTGATAAGGTGCACATACCTCCAGTACCTCTGAATTTTTTGACAGCTCCTTAGCTACTGTAACCAAGAACGTTGTGGCACATTTTATTCGGCACAATCTGATCTATCGATATGGTGTATCAGAGAGGATCATTACAGACAATGGTACAAACCTCAATAATAAGATGATCACTGAGCTCTGCAAACAGTTCAAGATACAGCATCACAACTCTTCTCCTTATCGGCCGAATGTGAATGGGGCTGTAGAAGCGGCTAATAAAAACATTAAGAAGATTGTGCAGAAGATGACAGTGACATATAAAGATTGGCATGAGATGTTACCTTTTTCTCTTCATGGGTACCGTACCTCAGCGCGGACGTCAACAGGGGAAACTCCTTATTCCTTGGTTTATGGCATGGAGGCCATCTTGCCCATTGAAGTTCATATACCCTCTCTTCGGATTATGAAGAATGCAGGTTTGAGCGAAGATGAATGGATCCAGACACGGCTTGATCAGCTGAACTTAATTGACGAAAAGAGACTTACTGCTATTTGTCATGGTCAAACGTACCAAAAACGGATGATCAAGGCATTTAACAAGAAAGTTAGACGACAGGAGTATCAAGTAGGGGATCTGGTGATCAAGCGCATTATCCTGCCACAAGGTGATCCTAGGGGCAAATGGACCCCTACGTACGAAGGACCATTTATGGTTAAGAACATTTTCTCAGGAGGAGCTATGATTCTAACCACCATGCATGGTGACGACCTTCCTCACCCCGTCAATGCAGACATAGTGAAAAAATACTACGCATAATCAAAGACCCACTAGGTCGACTGTCCTAGGCAAAAATAAGGGCTTCCCGGCGAACCAAAAGGGTTCGGGCAAAAATAAGGGATGAAAATGACAAAAACTGTACACCCGACAAGTCGAAAACCTGAAAAGGCGGCTTGGGCAAAAAAGGGTATCCCGGTGGACTGAAAACCCGAAAGGGCGGTCCAGGACAAAATTAGGGATTAAAGCGTAACACTATGTCTCATTGGATCACCTCGCGACCAGACTTCGGTATCAACTATCAAGCTCGGACGACGCCAATAAATCTGATCTACCTTCAACCAAGTAGCAAAAGGGATGAGATGCTCGAGGACATAAAGGCAATAACAGAGTTGGAACCCAGTGGGATTATTCACATAGCTGTTTTTCTTTATTTTTCACGAATTGTATAAATTCTATTTGTTCGACGGCGTTCTCTTACTAGAACGTCAGCCTCTTGTACAAAAACGCCTATTTACAGGCTAACTTCAAAATCAATATAAGTCATTTTCACAAATATATCTCAAACTGTTTTCCTTTTTTTTCTATTTTGTTTTGCAAAGAACGTCCAATGTTCAGTTTTTGATATATGCATTTGACATTAATTACTGCTCATGAATTCTTACATGCGAAACAAAAGAAGATTACTTGTAATATCAGAAACATGGGCAAACGAGAAATGTCCAAAATGTACAGTTGCTCTGTCCACCAGGTATAGGGATAGACCTAGCTGGAAGAAACGATTGAAAGTACATTCATTCCCCGCAGAGTAAGAGAAAGATAGTGGTGTTAGCTCTCCCCAGCTGAGACTCGCAACTGTGAATGAATCGGTAATATCCTCCCCAAGCAGAGTTTATCTATCATCAGCACTAAAAAGTCTTATCATCCCCAGCGGAGTATAAAAATATCCCCAATGGAGTTTGAAGAATTGTCCCCAATAGACTCTGGAAGATTATCCCCAGTAGAGTCTAAAAGATTATTCCCCGTGAATTCGCAACTGGAAAATCATCCCCAGCGGAGTTCTTTCCTTTCACAAAACAGGAATTCAATCCCCAAAAAGATTCATTATCACCAGCAACGGTAATTCATCCCCAGCTGAATTTATCGGCGGAATCCTCCGGCAGAGTATCTCTTCCCCACAGAGTCATTCTCTCGTCAGTTTATTCTCCAGCGGAGTTATCCTCTCCTGCAGTTTCATTCTCACAAACATCTTCATCCACTATCTCCAACGGAAACGAAGTATTCAATTCTTTTTCTCCAGCAACAATCCGGGATTTATTTTCCCCAGCTAAAAACATCACATTTCCATACATCATGACATGCATATACGCCTCATACAAACACAATCTCATTTATTTTGAGAACATCATCACTTGATACATATCATGCATTACATACAACTAACCTTTACCTTTCAGGAAAGATTCTCACAACATTCAAGCTATGAAGCTTCTACCTCAGTCGAATTACAAACAAGTTCCTAAATCTCGACAAAAATATTTCCTCAATTGAATTACGGACAAGTTCCTAAATCTCAGCAGAGATGTTTCCTCAGTTGAATTACGGACGATGTTCCTAAATCTCAGCGAAGATATTACCTCAGTTGAATTACGGACGATGTTCCTAAATCTCAGCAAAGATATTGCCTCAGTTGAATTACAGACGAGTTCCTAAATCTCAACAGAGATGTTTCCTCAGTTGAATTACAGACGAGCTCCTAAATCTCAGCAGAGATATTTCCTCAATTGAATTACAGACAAGTTCTTAAATCTCAGCAGAGAGGTTTCCTCAGTTGAATTACAGACAAGTTCCTAAATCTCAACAGAGAGGTTTCCTCAATTGAATTACGGACGAGCTCCTAAATCTCAGTAGAGATGTTTACCTCAGTTGAATTACGGGCGAGTTCCTAAATCTCAGCAAAAATGTTTCCTCAGTTGAATTACGGACGAGTTCCTAAATCTCAGCAAAGATGTTTCCTCAGTTGAATTACGGACGAGCTCCTAAATCTCAGCAGAGATGTTTCCTCAGTTGAATTACGGACGAGCTCCTAAATCTCAGCAGAGATGTTTCCTCAGTTGAATTACGGACGAGTTCCTACATCTCAGCAGAGATGTTTCCT